TGTAGCAATTTAAAATTTTTTTCATATTTATTTAAAATAAATATTATCGTATTAAATGTATCAAAAGATTACCCTCAAGTTTACAGATATCCAAATACAGATGGAAATAACTATTATATGAAGGGTGTAAAGTATGAAGAGGCACCATTTATTTTTTTACGGTTGAAAGATAATCATTTTAATTCGATAATTGATGAAGATGAAGATGAAGAACTTAAACTAACACCTTTTCAAGCGTAAGGTTTAAAGAATAAATGATCAAAGGATAGATTAAGTATTTTTTAAATAAAACAATTATTCTATAATTTTTAATATGAGAATGAAAAAAATAAAAGTGATTCAAATTGTTTTCTATTAAATGTCTTTTAAAATAATAAACAAAATATTTTTATTAGATGAATAAACATGTTAGATGCAATTAGATTCATCAACACAATTTAATAAGTCAAACATTTATAAAGATTTATAATTTAAACAAAAGAGTTTAAAATTTTTAATTATTAATTTAATTACGAAGAGAATGAAAATTTTATAAAAAAATTAGAAAGAGAATAACTAGGCTATGAAGAAAACTGGGTAAGTGTTGTCAGTTTTTTCTTCATATTATAAAACTCTTTATAAATTTACCATAAGTTTGTCTATTCTAAAACGTTTTTTAAAATTTATACATCTTGTATTATAATTAATGTTAATTATTTGTCTTTAATTTTTTGATAAATTTTTACGTTTCAATAAAATATATTTTTAAATACTTGTTTACTTAAAAAATGTTCTTAGGAACTATAATTTGTTCATTTAATTTTTTTTATAATTTTTAAAATATGTTTAAATTATAATTTCATGAATAATATTGTTCATGAGTAACATTATTTAATTAGTTATACAAAATACAATATACTACTTATTAAAGTTTAACCTTTATGTGATTTTATTTTAAAGCTGAATTATTTACATCTTAAGTAAATTATATTGAAAATGTTTTGAGAATCTTTAATAGATCAATGTACAAAGAATTTAGTTTAATAAACTCTTTATTTTTACTAAAATTTCTTTTTTATAGAATCAAACACCTTCTATTTTCATTTTCTAAATATTATTTAGAATTTTTATCAATATACTTTTTTTAATTCCAAAAGGCTTGCGAGTGTTTTTAATTTTATTAATAAAATACTTACTTCTACAAAATTCTAAATG